ATGGTGACGAGGGTGATGGCAGTCGATAATATGGTGGTGGTGGTGGACCGGTGGTGGCACTAGAAGTGCAAGTGGTGGTTACCATGGTGAGACGGTGTCGGTTGTGGTGATGGTGAGACGGTGGATGATACGGTGGTAGCAGCAATGGTGGTGGATGGTGGTGATGTTAAAGATAGTGGTGGTGGTGGTGGTGATGATGGTGAGACAATAGAAAATTTTTGTTGTGGTGGTGGCAAGGATGGTGACGATGGTGGTAGTATACATGATTTTATTTATTTTTATTAAAACTCTAACCTAGGCTAAATATTGAAAATAGAGGTAAAATCATGCATATGCACCCTTGTGGGGGTTCTTCCAAACTTAGGCTAAATACTTTTTTTTTTTGTTTTTCATTTGCGGAGTTTATTTTCACAAAATAGTCAGCCAAACGCATTTTCATTCATTTTTCGTATATGCGAAATTAAAACTATTTTTCAAAAGGCTAACGAAGGGGTTCTAAATTCAACGGAATCAATTCAACAAAAAAAAATTGAAATATGGGATATGGCTGCAAATATCAAGACAAGTTCCAAATATCCCAATCCATCTTATTTTACAAATAAATAATATGACGGCAGATGAATCAGCTATTTTAGGGACATAATTACATCATTTTTGTGTATGATTTACTAATATTTTGAAGGATGAAATTTCTCAATTTTTGTGTTTGATTTACTAATGTGCCTAAGATGACATTTCTCGGTTAAATTTTGTTATGCATATAAAGATCTGCTAGAATCTTTGAATTTGATTGTTTTTCCCCAAATTATCTAACCATGTAATATGGGAGTAAATATATATTTTTTTCCCTTCAGATAATACATATTTCATTGATTTGTGGAAAGTTTTAGACTTTAACGAATATGGATTGACATATGATTTAAATTTTTTTTTCACTTATAAGTAAAAATTTTAGTTTGAATCTTGTTGTTGACGATGTTACATTCCAGTCTCGACTCCACCGTAGCACAATATTGTCCGCTTTGAGCCCCGGCCACGCCCTCACAGTTTTGTTTCTGGGAATTCAGATGAGAATTTCTCAGGGGGTCACCCATCCTAGGATTGGGATGGCCCGAACTCACTTAACTTTGGAGTTCCTATGGAACCCGAAGCCAGTGAGTTCCCAAAAGGCATCATGCTATATAGAGGTGGGCATGTACATATAAGGCACATCACCCCCTCTCTGTTGGTCGATGTGGGATTTTACACTCCACCCCTTTTAGCGGCCCGACGTCCTTGTCGGCACACTCGCACTCTGCCGTAGCATGATATTGTCCTTTTTGGGCCCCAACCACGCATTCACGATTTTGTTTCTGGGAACTCAAACGAGAACTTTCCAGTGGGTCACCCATCCTAGGATTGCTCTCGCCCGATTTTGTTTCTAGGGACTCAGACGAGAACTTTCCAGTAGGTCACCCATCCTAGGATTGCTCAACTTAGATTGCTCTCGCTCGAACTTGCTTAACTTCATAATTCCGATAGAACCCGAAGCCAGTGAGTTCTCAAAAGATCTCGTGCTATATAGAGGTAGGCATGTACATATAAGGCATATCACCCTCTCTCCGTTGATCGATGTGGGATGTTACAGACGACGAGTTCAATATTAATTTATTACCTAACTCTTAAATGTGTATCGTTATATAAAAAGGAATGTAAAGCGATCTCAAAGGCAAAATCATAAGCAAAGAAGAAAAAGTGACAGGCTCCACCAAGGCTACAAACAAATACTCAAAGACAAATAAGCAAAACTGGCATACAATGTTGGTTGATTTTTCTTCGTTAACAGAGCATACAATTTGTTAATTTTGTTTTCATCAATAAAATGATGTGCATATTTTTGTTCCCATAGATTGAGAGACTCTCTCAAAAGTGGAACTTTTTATGAACTGTCACTTTATATTTTTGACATAATATTTTATAATTTTGACACGAGAATTGATGTTAAATTATGAGGTAACACATAATCCATAAAAAGTCTTAATTTAAGAGAGCTCCTTACCCTTTCTCCTCTCAGAATGTGTCTCCATTCCAAGGTTGAGGGATTCAGTTTTCTCTGCTTTTTATGTGATTTTCTTACGCTAAGAACCAGTTGTCTTACTAGTATCTGTCGATCTAGTTGGTCCAATACCAACTTTTCTCCTTTAGCTTTTTCCATGCCTTGCTCTTGGTCTTATCCTTTGCAGGAAAATGATGTGTTCTTGTATACAAGTGAAATTTACGTTACACAGATTTAAATTGCGAAAATTAAAAAAATAAGACTTAAGCACATGATGGAGGACATGTGGCAGCTCCCCGATACATCAGAAAAATCGCCTTTACACTGCTATTATGTTGCTGCAAATCTGGCACCTACCATGTTCTATTACCTATTTCGTGAACTGAGTCGAGAAAAACGTGAAAGAAATGTAGTAACAAGGTTAAAGAAGTAGATTATGATTCTCTCTCTTTCTCTTTTCATCTTCTTCCCTTCCCTCCTTTCACATTTCCTATTTTGTCATTCTTTTTCTATATAAAATTAGTACAATATGCTAACGTAGTTTAATTGTCACCGTTCAAATAGAATATGAGAGAAGGGAAGGGAAAAAAGAGGAAAGAGGTCTTTTCAACAATAAATATAGGAATGGGTTAGAGAAAACAATAAATATAGGAATAGATTAGAGAATCTGAGAATTTTAACAAGGGTAATTTTTGCAGATTGCTGATAAACTCACCTACTGTCTTGTAAAATAACATCTAAGGACCAAAGCAAAAAGAAAAAACAATAACTTCTCTGCAAGTATCTAAATTCCTCCAAATAAATATTTTCTTTATTTTCTATTCCTCTAGTTTAATCGTATATAACAGTTGTTCAAAATATTTTATTAATGAAACAATTATTTTAAAAATTGAAAAACGAAATGGAAGACCATGAGAAGGAATTGGGGTTGCTGCGGATTTGGATTGGATTATGAGGACGAAATTTTGGGAACGTGACCTTGTTCGTGGGACTCGGAAAAATGGAGGGGGGAGGGTTGTGTTGGAGATGGAAGGAAAGGTGCAATTGGTTAGAGATCTACGAAGTGACCGAATTCTGAAGCCTAAGCGGAATAAAAATAGGGAAAGGAGGTCATTTTGGAGATAAAGAGGGCGGGGAAAAGAGCATTTTTGCATTTTAAACTTTTTAAAAGGGGGTAAGATAATAAAATGGCCGAAGAAATAAGCAAATGAGGTGAGCTTATCAACACTCTTTTTTTGCGGATTCAAATGTCCTCCCAAGTATTTGGTACGTCAGCAAAACTAACAGCTCCCTCCTCCAACCTAGTTGATGAGAATGAGATTAAATAATGTGAAACACAAAAGAATAGTACAAGGAGTAAGCGAGACATAATAGAGTGTAACACCTGAGTTTCGTCAATTGTCACTCTTGGATTGACTAAAGAGAATCGGTTGGAGCTTGTGAGGTGGTAGGTAGTCTAAACCTGATGTCAAATTTGTAATTACATTAACCTCACATCATCGTTCTTTTTGAGTTTCAATCACACTAACACATCATGTTACTAATCCATGCATTATAATTAGGGATGGGCAATGGTTATGCGGGCGGTTAACCGCGGTTATTTTACCCATAACCGTTTATATTCATACCCGCATAACCGTTTACCCGTTGGGTAATTACATAAATGGTTATACCCATAACCATAACCGTTTATAAACGGTTATCCATACCCATAACTGTGTACCCATTTATCCATAACCATTTACCCATTTAACCATAACCATAACCATTTACCCGTTTACCCATTTTTTCGCCCGTGTATCCTTTTTTACCCATTTACCCTTTTTTTTTTCTCTCGTCTACATTATTTTTTTAACAATTTGAAAATTACAAAAGAAAAATTTGTCATAATTTTTATTTTCTGACAATTAAACACCATTATAAGTACATTTTAGCATACATTTCCCTATTTTAATCATTTAAGTCCTCGTATAATTCCAATAATTGAAATAATAGTTTACGAACGATATTTTTCTATATAGCTATTGGGGGAAATATTCGAGGTCCTTAGTTCGATTCTCGCTAACCAATTATCGCATTATGTCAAAATATAGAGAGGGAATTTACTAGATAACATCCAGAAAAAGAGAGAATCAAATTTCCAGAATGAACACTGTACCAATAGGATTCACATTTCCCCAATAGCTCTCAGTCTGGGGGTGAATGAGAGGATCCCCGTACACCTCGGAAGTAGATGTAAGCAAAATCCTGATTCAAGTTCATACCGTGAGAAACAAAAAAGACATAGAAAGATGGCTAAATCAAAGAAGACAGAACTACATAATCAAACCTTGCTCCGACTCGCTTCGCAAGTCCCAGCATGTTCAATGTACCAATCACATTCGTCTTTATTGTCTGTTACACAAGAAGGTAACTTTCCACTATTATTTCAGTTCCCGTTAACACTTAAAGTTCGATTATTCACTTTCCTCAAATTTACACAAAATATTGATAGACACACCTTTACAGGATTGTACTTGTAGAAGATCGGGGAAGCAGGGCAGGCAAGATGGTATATTTGGTCAACTTCAATTAGCAGAGGCTCTGTCACAAAAAGATAGCGACGGAGAGAGAGGCGCAAAGAGCGACGGAGAGAGAGAGTGATGAAGTCGAAAGGCGGAGAAAGAGAGTGACGGAGTTGTAACTCTGAGGGTTTTTAATTTTTTTTTTTAATTTTACATATATTAAATTAAATAGGTAAATGAATACCCGTTATAACCATGAATATTAACCATAACCGATGGATACCCGTTATAACCGCGGATAATACCCATAACCGTCCATTTAAATTTCATGGATAAACGGTTATACCCATAACCGTTTATTTGTTTAAATGGTTACCCATAACTATAATCATCAACTTTAAATGAACGGGTAACCGCGATTACCCATACCATGAGTATTTTGCCCATCCCTAATTATAATATAGGAAACAAAAATTGTTATAGCACAAGTGAATTAGTTATAACATGTTAAATTACTAAGCAATCATTGGTCATACCATGTCACAATTTTTGTACAACATGGTGACGCGATTCAAATCCAACACCCAACTAGTGAATTAGGATTTACTACTGCTCTGTCGTAACAACGAAAAAGAAAGTGCAGAATTAACTCAAAGTTTGTGTTTGAGAAGGTGAACTTCTGAAAGTTAGCGAAACCGTTTTAACAAGTTTGGTTTGAAAGACTGGAGTGCAATAATAACTTCAGAAGTTCACGTTATCAAACACGTTCAACTGGTCTTCACCCTGAAAAGATGTCTCTCCCAGCGAAGCATGAGGCTGACCGAACATAGAAGGAGGCTGAGTGTATGTAGAATCACGGTAATTCAATGGTTCGCCAAGATCATCCAGCTCCAAATATTGCTCATGGTCACCTAGTGGGATTTGACCCGGAGCACAAACAGAATTTGGCAAACTGGAGAAACTACATCCTTCTTCACCGACTCTTGCTGCCTTGCCCAAATCTCCTAAATTGTCATACATATCATTAATAACGAGATGAGGCGTTGCACTAGCATTTCCAACAGGAATGGCATTACCAACCTCCTGCAAATAATGAAGAAGTTCTACATTAACGTACTTTAGAAGTTCAAAGAACACTTGCAAGATAGTTTATTTGTACTCAAGTACTTACGGATTTAATTTTGTTCTATAAACAGATATAGATGCATAAGATATTCAAGATGCTGTAGTACATAATGAAATTATCAAAAACGACATTCAAAACCATCAACTTCTCAAGGCACGCCATCTATTTATAAACTCGGACAGTCACACCATCCAATTTTAAATTCTAGCTTCAAGAAATAACATTGGTATTATAATTATTAACAACGACTATAGAGTCCCAACTTCCACACAAAGGCTAATTTGTATCTTTCAACAACCTCTACGACATCAGTGATAGAACTTCAGTCACAGAAAGTATAGACGCTAACTCCTTGAATTCAACAAAATCTAACCTAACTCTATCTTGCCACATTATCACATATGCATTGGAAAGCTATAGCATGAGCATAGTCTCACAACATAAACCTTTCTCAATTTTATAGTAGTGACGATTCCACCACTCAGAAAATGTAAATTCATTTCATGATTGGTGGTTCCACTTACTATTAAACCATGAATGCTATAAACTACATGCAGAAAAGAGAGAAGGGCGTATTACACACCTTATTTTTTTCGTTTTCTTCAAATAATGAAGGGCTTTCTTCTGAGAAGCAAGCCAACATTGACAGGATATCATCCTCAGAAGTATGAGGCTCCTCCACTGTAGCATGATTGCTGGAAACCAGTTGGGAAACATTGCAAGAAAGTGGTACAACATCTGATATACACGATTCAGATGAAGGACCTATGCGTATACCATCATGGGTGTACGTGCTAGTAGTGATGGAACTATTGTAGTCACTCGGCAGAACAAGGTTTGGTACAGGCATATTTGCATGTGGGACTGCTTCTGAACAATTTTCAGCCTCATCATCACTCCAGTCTTCCTCCATAAGGGGCGCACCATATTGTGCACCATTTCTTGGCCCTGGCCCTTCTTTTTGAAAAATGGTACAGAGCACATACGATTCCTGCAATATGAGAAAGACAGAAAAAGTAATCAACACCGGCTAGCCATCCAAAGCAGTATAAGAAATTGTACAAAGTAACAGTTCGATTCAGAAGCATGAAAAATTCTAATCAGCTGAAACATTAAAGAATAACAAATCTTTACAAAAGGAAAGTATATTACAAACTCGGTGCAGATTGACAAACAAATTTTACAGAAAACAAGGAAGAATACAAAATTATGAGAGGAAGAGTATCATCTACCTGAGGCACACCACGATTAGCTAGGTCCTTAGATTCAAGCCTATACTCATGCATAACCCAGTCTGTTCGGTCTCTTTTTGGAGCTCGACCTGTATGAAAAACCAATGTTTTTATCTTGCCCGCAACTTCACCATTGTAAAGAACAGATCTGTCATTTCCTGTGGCCTTCCAGTAACCACATTCAGTTGTACGTTTCGTTCTAGCCCCAGTTGGGTACTTCCTTTCTGTCGGACAAAAGAAGTACCATTTTAAATCTCCACTTTGCCAACTAGATTTGTCTGAAAAATAAAAGCACAACACACTCAGAAACATATTACAAAGCAGGAAAGCCAAGGCTAATTACAATGACAAGGTATATAAAATAAAGACAAGAAAGAAAATAAGTTAGAATGACATATTACCTGGAAGATCCCAAGGAGCGTACTTATGAATGTCAACCTCTGCAACGAAGTTATAACGGAGTCTTTTCCCCATTACTTTCCTCTTCAAATAATATTGTACAAGCTCTACATCAGTTGGAGAAAACCGAAAACCAGGAGGCAACAATGATTTCCCTTTCCCCATTTACAATATACACGTCTCAACTATCTAACAATAACCTTAAATCCCAATGTGGAAATTCCTCACAAGATGCGAAGAAAATAAAGTATAGTTTTTTGAAACCAAGCAGCACGTCTCCTCAAGTCCAATGACGGAACAAGATCCTCCGCAAACACCAGAGCCTACCTCGGTTCATAAAACAAAACAATCGAATAATTGATGGATGCTCGTTGTTGAGATCAAAAGACATTGGCTGCACTCCTGTTATCCAACATTATTAGACATACATACTCAGATTAAGCAGCAAATACCAAAAAAAAAAAAAAATATATATATATATATATATATATATATCAGAACTTGATATCTGCAAAACATAAATAGGGCAATGCACTTATTCAAATTGAGCAGATCAAAGCAACATATTTCACATTCAAAATAACAAACCTGAATACACACTAGAGACAATAATTTTCGACACAAAATTATATAAAAATACGAAAGAAAAAAAAATAAAACTCAGATCGTTGAATTGAAACAATCACAAAAGCCGGACAAGAATAATTAAAACCGGACAGAATTCTAGTCGCCGAATAAAGACAATTAGATAGAAATCAATGTACGTTGATCCCTTTTTATCATATTTCCGCATTCACATCCAAAATTTACCAAATACTCTAGTGAGGAAGAACGAAATTTGAACAGAGAGAAAAAAAAACCCTAAATAGAGGAAAAAGCAAGACATTTATATAGAGTATAGAGCGAGAGAACGTGATCAGAAAATCAAACGGCGGCGATCATTAGGATCTCACCGGAGGATTGGAAAAAAAAAAAAAGATGATCAAAACCTAAAAAGAAAACGAAAATGTTGAGGTCGACTGAAACAGTGAACGAAGAGAGAGAAACGTACCTTGCGATGGGGGAACTGGCGAAGGCAGATTGGACGGGGGGAATCGGCGGCGATTGCGCTGATGGGAGGGCGGAAGTGGAAGAGCCAACTGGAAGAAGAGAGCTGCTCCGGGCGAGTTCAATTTACTTGTTCTCCATGATCGGGGTTTATGGGGTTTATATTTTTGAATTCTCTGCCAAACATAAAATTTTCATTTTATTTTTTATTTTATTTTTCAGGCATAACTCAAACGGGTTTTTCTGGCCCGGGCCCAGATGAGGATGGGCTTTAAAAATCCTCTGCCCAAATGCAGCCCGGACCTAGATCCTACGCTCCTTTTTATTTTTTTACAAAACAAAAAGGGGAAGTCAGAGTTATCTACCATTTTTGGAAGCTAGAATTCATGCCCTTATCACTGAGTTACTTGATGTGGTTTTAGATGCTATGCTATCTGAACTTATCTTCTTTCGACTTTATACTCAACTCTCAATTTTTTTGTTTTTTTAATACAAACCATATCAAACTTTTCATTCATGACATTCAATCTAAGACCTCTCATGAACTTAGCAATTTTTAATAGTTATGTCTTCAAAGTATCCATTTTTAGTAGAGCGGAATAAAAAACCCAAAGAACCCAAAAACCAACCCGAGGCAAAAAAAACACCCCCCCCCCGGGCCCCCGAAGAAAACTGAGTTCACTAAAAGCGAGGGAAACCGAACCAAAATCCGAAGCAACGATTTAAACTCTAGGGACTAATGTGAAACTCAGAGTAACTAAAAAGACCAAAAGTGAAATTTAGTACTGCAAATTTAATTGCAGCGCAAGGATAATAATTAATTCAGTCAATTTATTTATGAAATTAGCAATTAAAATTGTGAGTTTCCTAAATGTCGCACACCAAATTGTGAAAGAAATTTGTAACTAAGCAATCACATTGAAATTTGGAGAAATTATTAGATAATACAGTACCGCCGCGTGGCACTGACAGCTGGTAGTACCTACCAACAAAAGCATGACACGTGACAAAGTTCACATCTTTGGCTTCCAGAAGAAGAACCAGCGGCTAAAGCGTCAAGTTTTGCGCCCTCCTTCCTCCATAGCCGTCGATTTCAAGTTCAAAGCTGAGAAATTCCAACTCAAAGGTGTGCGATTTCTTCATTTCATCAGCAATGGCAGCCTTTCTTTCGCTTTCAGTATGTCCTCTGTTTTTAGGGTTTTGTTTTTTCAGAAATTGAAAAATGCACCTTCTTTGATCACCGAACACGCTAGGCACATTGGGGTTTTCTCTTTTTTGTCCATGTTTCACGGAATCGCGTTCGTAACATTTCGATCCTTAATTTTTGGGTTTTTTTTTTTAAATTTAATTTTTAATCTTTAAAAGAAGAAGCAAACTTGCTCGACAATGGCGAAGATGGTTTCTGGTTTCAAACAATCGATGATGAATCAGTTTGATGGTTCCCTGCTGCAATTGAAGGGTCTTTTGGAGAAGATGGGTTCCGTTCGAATGTGCTTCAGAGCCAATTCCAGGAGATCCAGGACGGCATAACTCGGATCGGAACTCCCTCTGGATCCGATTCAAGGAGGAGGAACGGGAAAATGAGCTGGAAGTCGAAGTTGTGAGCTTTGCCACGTGTCTTGCATTTGTTGGTGGGTACTATCAACTGTCAGTGCCACTTGGTGGTACTGTACCATCTAATAATTTCTCTGAAATTTGAAACTACATGGACGGAAATTAAACTTGGCTCAAATTTCAGGGGCCATTTAATAAATAAAGTAAAAAACTGAAGGTACTACGTAGATATTTTTGTATGTGATTCCAGCTTCAAAGAGAGACGGCAGGAGCGAAATTGTCTTTGAACTCTTACCTTTCACTGGGGAATCGCCGCCCTTCTCCGCCCTACTCTGCATTTGATTCTTCACCGGTAACTCTCTCTCTCTCTCTCTCTGATTTTCCAATCTTCTGTTTGGTTTCCGAGAAAATCGAAAAGAAAAAGTTTATGATTTGGGTTCAATGGAGTGGGTGTTTCTAGGTTCTGGGATTTTCCTATCTCTCGCAAGTTGACAATGTTACTTCCTATTTCGTGTTTTCGATTCTTTTATGCTGCTTCTAATCAGAAGTTAGAGCTTAATCACATTTAACGGGGTTAATCTGATTGCTTAATCACCATTTTGGTCATAGTATTAATTTTGTGATTTTTCAGATTATTAAGCATTGCATTCTTGATTAGCTGCTTCTTTTTATTCTTCGAATTTGCGGAAGTGCAATGCATGCTACAATAACATAATATACAAATAAAAAGGTCGTACCCAGTCTTGTGCACCCGCTTTACGCAGGGTCTGGGAGAGGTGAATGTCGGCTAGCCTTACCCCCCTTTATGGAGAGGCTGCTCCCAAGTCTCGAACCCGAGACCTACCGCTCATGAGCGAAGGCACTTGTCATCGCACCAAGTGCGACCTCTAACATAATATACAAATAAGAAATAAAATATATCTAAATAGAACAATGAACATATTTGCTTAATCACCAGTAGGTACTTTCTGATTTCTCTCGTCTTCCGTACCGTAATTATACATATTTACTTATGTTTTTAATCCTCAAATTTTGTTTAGTTGTTCATGGAATCCAAGTTTGTTCCTTTTTATCATTTCGTTAAGAAACAGTGCGCAAGTTGCGTTTTGTGAGCTCAACTGTTCGTTTGAGTTCTGCTGGGAAATGGGTTTTAGTACAACACACCTCTAATGCAGTAACAGTGTTGTTCTGTGTGCTTCATTTCTCATGGTTTGTCGAAAAGGTTCTCCTTCTGAGAGATTTTTCCAAGTGCGGTGTATTCAAGTGGTACTTCACGTATCATAATACAAAGTGGCGGAAATGATAAATTTTTTTCATGTCCCTCCGCTTATATTATGACACGTGGAGCACCCACTTGAAACTACCCGGCACTGAGAAAATTTCTCGTTCTTTTGAAGCACTGGATGTGTTTGATGAAATGCCTGACAGTGGGAATAGCTGGAAAAATACAGACTTGATCATTATGCATTCTATGGCTGATGGTTCATGAATCTTTTGCGTTTTTGAAGTTTAATAAGCTCAATTACATTTGAAGTTTCGGGCATTAAATTTGTTTTATAAGAAGGGGAGGGGAGCATGATTTTTGGGCAATGTCGCTGTAGATTCAGGAGTTTGGGATAAATTTTGTTTATTAACTAACAGGTCATATCGGTTTTATCAGAGAACTCGACAGTTGTACAGGGCTCTAGGATGGAGAAAACCAGTGGCAATATAGCAACCCGCTTGTTTTGGAGCATAGTTAGTTTTTTGAGGAGATGTCTCTTTCTTGTAATATCTATTCGTCCCATACCACGTCACATTGCCTTCATCATGGATGGAAACAGAAGATATGCTAAAAAGCGGAAGATGATGGATGGGGATGGACACAGGGTTGGGTTTTTGGCTCTTATGTCCATGCTCAAGTATTGTTTTGAGTTGGGTGTGACATATGTAACGGTATATGCGTTTAGTATTGAGAATTTCAAAAGGAATCCTGAAGAAGTTCAATCCTTGATGGACCTGATGCAGGAGAAGATCGAAGGGTTAATCAAAGAAGAAAGCATAGTGAATCAGTATGGAGTTAGGGTACATTTTATTGGGAACCTAAAGCTCTTGAGTGAACCTGTCAGGTCGGCAGCGGAGAGGGCTATGGCAGCCACGGCCAATAACTCCCGAGGAGTGCTGTCAATATGTATTGCGTACACTTCCACTGATGAGATTGTGCATGCTGTTCAAGAATCGTGTGAAGAAAAACTGGACGAGATTAGCTCGATGAATGCAATTAAAGCTGGGTATGGTCTAACTAAACTTGGAGGCAATGAAGAGAATGAAAGGGAGAAGATTGTAAAATTGACAGATATTGAAAAACATATGTATATGGCGGTTGCACCAGACCCTGATGTTTTAATCCGTACTTCAGGTGAGACCCGGTTGAGCAATTTTCTTTTGTGGCAGAGTGCGTTCTGTTATTTGTACTCTCCCTCGGTGCTCTGGCCTGAGATTGGTTTCCGTCATGTTGTTTGGGCGGTCTTGAAATTTCAGTCTAACTATTTTTATCTTGAACGCAAAAGGAAACAGTCATAACTTTGTCTGAGTGATGTGCTGTTGCCTTTGGTCTAAAATGTTCTTGTTAATCTCTACTTGCTGCTAAACTACTGTTTTATGTAACAATATAGATTAACGCAGGCTGGTACCATTTACCATTGCTTTGGATGGTACTTTTACAGTTTACATTCTCATGTAAACGTCATTCTGTTGTACTGTAAGAATAAACTGTGGACATGGTAAAATAAATTTGGTATGTGATAGATTGATTTGCATAGTTGACATTTTGAGCAAAGTACTGATTGTTATATGCTAACTAACCTGCATGAAATCTGTAAAGTTCAGAGAGTTTTGAAAAGGATTTTGCCTTGAATTGCTGTTGTTATTTCTCAATAAATATAATAAGACTAGATTCATATTCGGGAAGTCAAATTAAGATTTGATAGCATCGTAATAGACTTTAAAATCATAGGGGAGTCAATAGGATTTTAAAACGCTTTGACTCCAAACGTCATCAATGACTCCTCCCAATCCAAATGTTTACTTACAAAGACAAGATCACTATGATTTACTTGTTCATCTCTTTTATGTAATTTTTATGTAGTCATGTTAAATTACTTAGTTGATGTATTCAACTGACGCACCTTGACGGATACGCACTGGGCAGGTTTGTTACGAGTCTTAAACTGGATTAGCATTCCTTATTACGTTTGGTGCTCATGATTGGATTCGACTGGACCCTACAACTCTCACTCTATCGCTTTCATTCCTACCATTTTGTGGCAACCACAAAATCCCAACGACAAACACAAACCATACCAAAAACAAAAAAAAATCAAACATCACCATCCCATAGGACCCGGCTTCTCTGCCCTCCCAGTTCTCATACACTCCCATCATTTTCTATTTTGTGCAGTCACGGTTAAGTCACGTCAACATTTTATATTAATTTTTTATAGAGATAATAATACAAAAAGCAATAATGATAAAATGTTGACGTGACTTAACCGTGATCGCACAGATAGGAGGGGATGGGAGTGTATGGGAACTGGGAGGGCATCCGGTAAATCCATTCCCTACAAAACAAGACATGAATGAAGGGGCTAGGCTTTTTCCACCATGTAAACAAAATGTAGTGGGAGTGGGGAGGAGGGGTGAGATATAGGGTATTCAGGCTCCAGCCTTAGCAGTGCAAATCACTAGCGACTTGGATGACAGTCACTGGGGCTCACGACTACTGACGGCCTTGCTAAACTCCCTAGCAGCAGAATAACCCTTCAGCACCAGCAATGTAATATCGCGAACTGTAATAGCAATTCGATGGGATCCACTGCACAACAGTCGGTTCCATGATTTTTCTATTGCAGCCCAACACACTACGTCTGGCATACCAAAGACTCAATCCTAGCAACACCATGTTAACAAATAATCACAAAGCAACAAACACCAAAAGTTTGCACTGCGTTTAGCGTTTGATACCGGTACAGGTATCAACCGGAGCCTAAAATCCATAGCCAGTTCAATGTAATAAGTTCTACTTATCCATTTGATAAGAAAATGAAACATTCAATGTATGTGAGCCCGTAAAATAAAACGCTAAAGCAAGAATCATAACACTTGTTTTCGATCACTAAAAAAAGCTGCAAGGATAAACACAATATAATCCTCAAATGTAAATCCCAGCTCAAAAAAGAAGATTACCAACCTATTAGAATCTTCTGATTACAACCAACAAGAAAAAAAGAAGATTACCAATTTCCAGCCACAGATAAGCTTTGAGACATCCAATCACTTAGATTTCTTTCCTTGCTTTTTCTTGATAACTTCATCGACGTACATTATACCCTTGCCCTTGTAGACTTCAGGTGGCTTACAACTACGAACAGCAGCAGCAAACTGGTGCACCCTATCTTTATCAATTCCGGTGCAGCACACTACGTTGTTCTTGAAGCAGAAAACACGAACCGCAGGAGGAACGGTCAATTCTACCTCATGACTGTAACCCAATTTCAGATACAACATGCGTCCTTCGGCTTCCGCTCGGGCCTTGTATCCCACACCCACAATCTTAAGAAATCGAAAAAATTTGGCTTCCATTTGAATATCTGCTCCTGAAAACACCCAAACCCACTAATCATTTCTTCTTAATGTTATCGAATTAAGCTAATTTTAATCCTGATTCTCGTTGCTTTAGTCTACAATCTTCAATTATTAAATTCACATTTCAAACCATATCCAAGCAACATCCACATTCCAATACAAAAAATTGGAAAACGAAATCAAAAACCCAGAAAATATTATAAAATTTTAAAATTTTGATGGACCCAAATTTTATTCAATCTCACTGAGCACTAAAAATCCAAGGATATGCATGTTTGTTTCCTTCTGTATGTAAACATCTGTTTTACATGTACTGATAATATATATGTGTGTATATATATATTTATAGAGAGAGAGAGAGAGAGAGAAAGAGTAAGCAACTGAAGACTATCGCAACCAGTAAGAAGTCTTAGGCATACCTATTAGCTGCTGAACCCCTTAGATTACAGCAGTCGTAGTCGGCGTCGGCGTCGTCGGAAGGCTAAAGTTTGTCTGGGTTCAGAGGAGTGGAGGACTGCTTTGAGACGAAGGAGAATCAGATGAGATTTAATGTAATGTTCTTTTCTCTGGATCGGACCTAAAGCCCGGTATTTTCAGCTTACCTCATTGGGCTATTGACCAAATTGATGAAGTGCCGATCCAATGCAGTGTTAGGGAGTGATTTCTGCACTTTTTTTTTTTTTTTTTGGTTAAACAATCGATTTTTTTTTGTTAAACGATTGATTTTGTTAGATTAGTTATCAACGGAGTTCGAACTCATACCGTCACGTAAGAACTCAACTTCTTTACATCACTGTGGTAAAGAGCCACTTACCGCACTTTTATTTTTACCTACACTGTTTTTCTTATGAACTCCCGAACATTTGTGGTAATTGGCACGATCTCATAACACTTGCATTTCCATTTGCCATACTACATCTAGTTATATTTAAGTGCAACTAACAAAATTAGACTTGGCAAAATCATGCACTATCCAAAAACATGACACGAACACATGAGAAAATTCAGCATTTACGTCGAGCCTTAAAGGGTCAAGTTGATAATAAATGGACTCGTTAGGAAAGTAAATTAATGTATTTTATTTTTATTTAAGATATTGAATATATAAATTGGATATGAACATATCTGTCAAAATTAATGATTTTATCTCTGTGAATGTTATTCGTTATACACATTGTTTGTCACACAATTGGTTGGCCATTTGGGGTGGGGCATTTAGGCTAAATTACATAATAAGATATCGAACTCACAAGGGCAAAGAATGTACTACTAGATTTGCAATGCCATATGTTGTGATATGATTTTTTTTTTTGGTTTTGTGTTATTACAGTGGTATTAGTACTTCAAGCTAGACTAAGGAGAATAAAGGTGTGGATCCAGATGGATTCGGATCCCATCCGAATTCAAATTGTGGGGATCCTAGAGATCATCACGTCCTAGCCGTTTATCGTATATCGTGCGGTCAAAATTTATTTTGAATTTTATTATTTAAAATTAAACATAAATAGTACCTAACAAAAAATGATCCCACGATGTACGATAAACAACCATGATGTGAGAATTCCTAGAATCCCCACAAAGAGGATCCGGATAGGATCCTCATCCAATCCAGATGACGTCAATCAAGACCCTATTTACCACGAAAACCCACCACTTTCAAATGTAAATTTAATCTTAAAGTAAATGTTAGGTTGGTTGAATTGTAAACGTAAACTAAAGTGTTGCTATTTGAAGGAAAGTTGGTGTTTTGTTTTATACGTTTCTTCGTTGCTATTATCTAAATTACATGCTAATAGAACCCTCTTTATCGGCCAAAAGATGGTGAAAATACCATTTAGTCTTCTATGACAATAAAAAAGTTAAGGACAATAACGTAATTTTATAAAACAAAATTTTTTATTTTTGTTTAAGCCTCACCTACAGGTGATTCTCACATTTCTAATTATGAAAAAAGTAAAAAATAAACTTCTCTCTCCACCTCCACATTCTCTCTCTCTCTTCCTCTCTCCTTCCATTTAAAAAAAAAAAGTGTGTGTGAGCATATACTAGTGTTTTAAAGCAACTCCACCGGGACCAATAGTTTGATGCACCAGCGATTTTTTTGACCCAATAGCCCTAGCTCCTTGCTCCAGCCCATGCGGGCATGTGGGCTAGGGGGCCTGAGTGAGTGGCCCAACTCGAATTGATGGTCCGAGAGCCTGAGGCCAAATGACGTCAGGATAACGTCAACCACGTTATAAAAAAATTTGCGTCAGGCGCTAGGGGGTGTGTCACCGACAGCTTTTCAGTCAGTGGGGCCCGCGAGAGAATCTTTATTCAAAGGACATAAACACACCAAATAAAATTGCATAAACATACCAAATAAAATTACAAACACCCCAAATAAAAAAAAATTCACTAAATGAACTTAAAAACACACCAAAAAAAATTAAATAAACACACCAAATAAAAACAAACACACTAAATGAACTTAAGTTTCTTGAGCTTGTTTCAATTCCCACTGGTACTCTGTCAAGTCAGTTTGCCATGCATTGTGCATATATGGGTCCTGAAGTGAAGTATATCGTTGAATGAGCCTTTCATTGTAACGTCCATCCCTTTGTAATGGCTCGTGTTGCACGGGTTCTTCAATGGCGTCATGTGCACAATATATTTGTGTTCTGGAATTATTTATTGTGTCTGACTCATATTCATCAACAGCATCATAATCGTCCTCATCTTCCACAATCATGTTGTGAAGAATGATGTACGTTATCATGATGGATCGAAGCGATTCTAAATCAAATATTATGGTAACACCCCTGACAATCGCCCAACGAGCTTGGAGGATACCAAAACAACACTCGACATCCTTCCTACACCCCTCTTGATAGCTTGCAAAGTGTTTGTCCTTTGCACTTCGCGGACGTGGCACTGTTTTGACAAACGATGACCACCTTGGGTAAATGTCATCTGCTAGGTAGTATGACCCGTGGTACTTATGTCCGTTGACCCAGTACGTGACTCTTGGTGCTTTTCCTTGCAGGACATCGTTGAACACTAGGAATTGGGCAAAGACATTAAGGTCATTTTGAGCTCCCGGAACACCGAAAAAAGCGTGCCAAATCCATGTATTAAATGTTGCCACCGCCTCCAAAATGATACTTTTTGCTCATTTTCTATCCCCATAAGCTCCTTGCCATGCACTTAGACAATTTTTCTAGGTCCAGTGCATACAATCGATGCTTCCAATTATCCCAGAAAAACCTCGCATCTCGCCCTTCTTCAGAAGCCTTTGCAAGTTCTCCAGATGTACTATGTGGTGTAGATGGATTCGATTGCGGAGCAAAACCTCATCAGGGACTAAAGTATGGTTGATTTCCCCATCATCGCTATCTCATGCACTTGGTCTGCATATGACTACATATGCAAGCATCTACAAGGCAGCAGTAATTTTTTACTCAGGAATGAGACCCATAACACCAAAAGCATCATTCTTTTGCACAAAGTAAGAATCATGGTTGCAAATAGCAATCATGATTTTGTTGAACAAATGTCGTTCCATTCTAAAACGACGTCTAAATTACGTATCAAGGAATGCACTGTTACGGACAAAATAATCGTCCAAGAGATTTGTACCTCATCGTTGCCTGCTTCTATCAATGTTTGCATAACGGTTGGGCCTAAAGATTTGAGCCATAACTTGGATGACTCGACGGGAATGTGAGGCTTTTTGGCTTCTTACTTTGTCATCTCTCCTTCTATGCTCTTCATCCTCATCCTCTTCCATCTCATTTTCACCCACCTGGAGATTAAACATTTCTTCCCCTTGCTTAAAACAATTCTTTCTCTTGCTCATCGATTTCCCACAACATCATCGATTTCCCACAACATCCTTGAAGAAGACATTGTAAGAAGGAAGCAGAAACTATGAATAATGATAGAGATTTTGATTTTGGTGTGTGATTTCTTAGGATGGATGGTAGGTTATAAGGAGGAAAAAGAAAGGATTAGGTTGTAGATAATGCCACATGGCATGCCGTCATTTGTTAAAAATATGATTGAAATCTATCCTTAAAGATTGTAAACAGATTGTGACACCTAACGCGATGTGATTGGTTAAAAATCTTATTGGAAATCGATTATCAATGATTCTGAAAAGGTAACAACACGTGGCACGACGACATTGGATAAAAATCTTATAGAAATCTATCACCAAAAATTGTCTTTTCGGACAATGACACGTGACGCAACGAGAACGATTACAAATCTTATCCGAAATTACAAATAAAATTATTTTGTATTATTTTATAAAATAAAAATACCAATATTTTATTGCCTATTGCCATGACTATTCAGTTTAGGGGTGGAGATGCAAAAGGCAGTTATTGTTCATTGGAGGGGATTGAATAGTAAGTTGCCTAGGAGGCCTTTGTCACGTTGGAGTTGCTCTTACAATTGAAATACGTACCTCCGGTAACTAGTGTTGCTTGCATTCTTTACGGTCCTCAACCAATCACAAATAAGCTTTGCTTGGACTGAAATAAGATATTGGGCATGTTCAAGGCCCAACAAGCCGGATTTAGAGCTGGTTTGGTATTGCTGTGCTTTGAAAAAAAACTGCTTCTGCTGTGCTGCAGGAATTTGCAAAGACTTTTTTATGGTTTTGAGACTTTGTTTTTTTTTTTTTTTCTTGTGAGAATAAGCTTATTTTTGCTGCTTCACGTTTTCAGCTTTTTTTACCCAAAACTGTGAAAATAAGCTGTTTTTAAGTGTTTACCAAACACTTTGTTGAGCTCAGCTTTTTTTTATACCCACTTTTTATAAAAGCACCTAAGTACCAAACCAGTACTAAGGGCTGGTTTGGTATTGTTATGCTTTGAAAAAAAACTGCTTCTGGTGTGCTGTGAGAATAAGCTCATTTTTGCTACTTCATGTTTTTAGCTTTTTTTCACCAAAAACTGTGAAAATAAACTGTTTTTAAGTGTTTACCAAACACCTTTTTGAGCTCAGCTTTTTTTTATACCCACTTTTTATAAAAGCACCTAAGTACCAAACCAGTACTAAGAGCTGGTTTGGTATTGTTGTGCTTTGAAAAAAAAACTGTTTCTGCTGTGCTGTGATACTAAGCTCATTTTTGCTGCTTCATGTTTTCAGCTTTTTTTTTCACCTAAAACTATGAAAATAAGTGTTTGTCAAACACCTTTTTGAGCTCAACTTTTTTTTATACCCACTTTTATAAAAGCACTTCAGTACCAAACTAGTACTTAGTGTGCTTTGAAAAAAAACTGCTTCTGTTGTGCTCTGAGAATAAGCTCATTTTTGCTGTTTCATGTTTTCAGCTTTTTTCACTAAAATTGTGAAAATAAGCGTCTTCCAAACACCTTTTTGAGCTCAACTTTTTTTTTATACCCACTTTTATAAAAGCACATCAGTACCAAACTAGTAATTAGTGTGGAAAGCTTATTGCTATTTATTTTGGCAGCAAGTGAGCAATGCACATCTCAAGATTTAAAGAACTTTATGACGTAGCACTGTGGGTGACAAAAATCCTTTTTCACACTAAAAGAAAGCTGCTCAGTCGATTTTCTAGTGGCAGATTCGCA